TGTTGTTTCTTTCACGATATATACCCTGCTATATACAAATCAAATAAAGAAATGATGTTTACCTACAAAAAAAAAAATATATTTTAATTGGTTATTATATATTTGATATTTTTATTTAATAAAATAGAATTTTTAATATAATATCAATAGATATAAGTTTAATAAGTATTTAGTATTTAATATTTATTGTATTATCAGAATATAATTAGTAAGTCTGCTACTATATTACAATTGTTAATTATGTAATGTTAAAAAAAATATTTAAAATATAATATTTAATAAATAAGTATAATATATAAAATAATAAAATAAGTAAATAGTTAAAAGATATTTTATAATTAGATTTTTTTACGTAATTTCCTTTCTTTTTATACATAGAAATAAAATTTCAAAATTTCAAAAATATTATAAATTCTTTAAGCTTCAATTATATTCTAATTGGGTAGTAATATAATACATGATATATTACAAATTTTTTTATCTCTTTACAGTAACAAATAAATAGATAAATAAATATTTTTGTTTATATAAAGATAAAATAATCCAAGAATTTGTCTTAAAATTTGTTGATATATTTCAAGACTTGTAATAAAGATTAAATCTTTAAATAGAATATTGGCTTAATAATATTTATTTGAAAGTCAATAATTATATACAGTATTAGTATTTATCAGTTTTGTAATATAGAATTTTTTTAAAATATAAAAAAAATTTTTTTAATTATTTAATCACATATTCATGCTGATTTTTTTTTGGTAATTTTTAAAATTTAAAATAACAAAAGCATTGTATAATTTTTTTTAATTTAATAATATATCGAATATTTCAGAATACATAAAAACATGAAATCTTATTTTTTTATAATATTATTTTAATAATAAATTATGTTATCAAAAACATCGTATAATTGGTTTTAATTAATTATATATAATTTACAAAAAAAAAAAGCTATTACACATTCTGATATTATTGTATTAATACAATTATTTATTTTTATTTGAATAGACTTCTTTTTTAATTTTAGAAGAAACAAAACAGGCAGATATAGTAATAAATATTTCAAATATATCAAATTATATTATGTACAGTTAGAATAATATTAAAATAATGGTTTGAAATGCATTTTTAAAAGGAATATAAATGACTTTAAGCAATATCATAAAAATAAAAATCAAACTCATAAAGAAATAATTTTTTAGCTGGTTCACAAAGTTTAGCAAAATGGTATTAGAGAATTATTTAACTTTACTAAAAGAATAAAACTATTTACACTTATAATGAAATAGTAGCAGGAGAGATGTTTAGTTCTTGGCTCAAATTCTTAAACAATTAGATTTATTAATCACTAAATTATAACGATTACTTAAATATAATATTGCACAGTATTCAGTAAATACCCTTATGATTTTATATCTTTTCTCAAGTCCAAGATGCCCCTTCACTTTCAGGCTTGGGCATTTTTTACAAAGAAAACCCTGGTGCTATAACTTTTAATCGAATCAGACCCGATATACCTTATAAAGTAAATTTAATGTCATGAATATATGAATCCTAAATCAAGAGAGCTGATTAAAGCCCATTACCTTTAACAAAAATAAAATGTTTCGAGTAATAATTTGTAAATCTCTTGTTAATATACAAATCGTAAAGAAAAAATAAAAGCATAATTATTCTTCAACTAATATTTCTATTATAAATGAACAATGTTAAGAGAAGAACATTTTATATTTGTGAAATACAACATCACAGAGCCTTACCTTGCTTTCTTAATTATTTTGCGTTAAAATTTAGCACGTCAGTCACCATCAAAAGCCGAGGCCGTACCACGATTTTTTTTTTGAATAATTTAGTTTCGTTCTGCCAAATAATTCACCAATGCTTCCTACGATGTTCAAAATCAACGCAAGGTTTCTTAGCCTGTCACTATCTCTATATTCGCCAGAAATTGTAGAGACTACCCCTAAGGCTTGGATAACGATTGTAATCTTAATTCCCAAAGGCCTATTAAAATAAATAATAATTGGCAATATGGGTCCAATAACCGACCCTATAAAAGCAGCGTCTCTTTTGTTCCTCATTTCTAGTAAAAAGATAAAAGTAAATACACGTAATCATTAAGTAAACAACGGTAAAAAAAAATTACTACTTCTTTTTGTGAATTAAGATACTAAGAGATAAATGTTATCTTGAAAAGAGAAAATGCAATAGATAGTGCTTTTAACGAGAACCACCTAAATATTTACTGTAAATAAAAGAAAAATTCCATATTATTTCAATTAAGGGATAGTTTTGGAAAATTAGGTGCATTATCAAAGCATTATCAGCGAAATACAGTACTCTATTTTTATGCACATGTAATCACATGCAAAGATAGGTTTATTTGTATTAGACGTTTGGAGAATTTTAAAAACCGAGCAACTAAATACATTGTCACGTTTAATTGGTCAATAAAGGTAAGGCTTTGCACAATCATTATTAGAGTTTAATTATAGTACCCTTGAAATTGAATCCAATATGAATAAATAAAGTTAGTCTTTACTATGCATATCGTATCCCATATAGGTTCA